ACTTTCAGATACAGTGATAATTTGCTTCACGTCTATCGGGGGGGGGGTACTATTTAACTTTTCCTAGATCATGTAAACCCTCATAGGTACATTGTGGAGAGGTTGACAAGTTAGGACATAAATCACACAGAAACTAGCGAGAACATTGGTTTGCATATTGAGACAAATTTCTAATTATTGTCAGAAAAGATTGATAATTAAAGAGAAGGAATAAACTACAATAAGCGATATAAACTAGCCAAAATATTTGGGAAGGCTTGTAGAGACATTAGGTATTTTTGAAAGCAGGAAAGATAAAAAATTAACAACGCCTTCGCGGGGAATCGAACCGCGGACCTCTGGAATACCGCTACCAGTGTGCAAACCACTACACCACGAAGGGTCGCCAAGAAGGTAGGAGAAATAAATACCTTATATATTCCTCCTTTTAAAGGGCGACTGGGATTTAGGGAATCGAATTGCCAAATCCTTTGTGTGGAGAACCATCATCCAATACCGATCAAGTAACCATCAACACGATCAAGTAAAACTTATTCTTTGCATCTACTGAGACTTTATATAAAACAACTTATCACCTGTGGTGCTTTAATGGCTTATTGGAACCTTAAAGTATATTAACTGGGTTATAACACCTGAAACTCTACACACGTTGATGCTATGACATTAACTGCATTAAGCAGAGGACTAACTTTCAACACTTGCCAACTGTGCCTACATCAGGCCTTTCAGGTTTGTTCCAATCAGCAGGTCTCTCTATAGGCAAGCAGCAGAGGGACAACATTCAGTCTTTTGTTATGAATCATGCTGATTATGATCTCACTTCTCATTTTAATCTATGCCGTTTGACATAAAATTTCCCTACTGTTTGCTAAACCTCTAAACTGACCAAGTATGTGACAAAAAGAGAGCAGAAAAAAAAAAAAAAAAAAAAAAGCATAAAGCTAACTATTAGTAAAATGTAAATGTCACTTATTTTCTTTTAAATATGTCCAACTATTATAAGTGTAGACTGCTATTACTAGACTCTAGACTGACCAAGTATGTGACAAAATGAGATAAAAAAATCAACATAAAGCTAACTATTAGTAAAACGTAAATGTCACTTATTATCTTTCAAATATGTGCAGCTATTATATAAATATTTAATGCTACTTGATAAACTGCATAAATTATTATTATTATTCTCAAACTTATTAATAATTATGTTAGTTAATTCGTGTTTTCTAATAATGCATACTACTTAGGGATCTATTTTATTTTTAGGATGGTATTACAAAAGTGAAATTCAGGAATAGAATAATATTTTTAATTGAATTTATTCAGTTCCCATTTGCTCATAGGTCCTTAATTTTTTCATTAATGGTCCTTAAAAGTCCTTAAAAGTACTTAATTCCCGTGTGCAGAAATCTGTACGAACCCTGTACTAGTTCTTCAAAAACAAACGACTATATTCTCAAATCATGTAGAAAAGTAAGGAATACAAAGCAACAAGAAGACAAAATACCTGCTGTTAGAGACAGCAAACCGACGTGAAAAATTATTCTCCTTGAAAATTGAGCAATATGAGCCCAGAAATGATGACATAAAGTGCTGACATGCTAATAAATCGATAAACTCTAAGAGAATTCTTTTAAAAACATCATTTATTGCAAATTTTGTTATGTCTACGGCTAAGAGAATATTTGTGAAATGTACAATATAGAAGAACCATGAAAACTGCCATGCAGACAGATCGTTCTCCTCTTGCTAAAAACTATAATTGGCTATCGACTTTGAACAAAGCTCAGATCGTAAAAATTTATGGGTGTTAGAGAAAATCAGAATGTTGAGATTTTAATTTTTGAATTTAATGGTTAAAAATACTTTGCTTCTTTGTGTACCAACTTTTGATATTTATTGTGTCATTGTGAGCTATCAGTTAATACTCAACAAATGAGTACAGTCAAAAGTCGTTAATTCGGACACCCATAACCCAGAATGATCTATAATCCGGACCTCAAAGCTAAAAGCTTTCTGCGCATGCGCTGCGTTGACACATGCACATAGGCGTTTGCGCGTGCGCACAAGACCTTTACGACTGTGCATGTGCTTGTGCGCAAGTGCAGAATACATTTTCGCGTGCGCGTTTTATGTATAACGGAGGATATAAGCTAAAATTATCTAATTATCTATTTTGGTTAATGTTGATGATTGCGTTGTTCCTTAATCTTCGAATTGGATCCGGGTTATTATTTTTTGCAGACTGTAAGAGCAATTTTATAAAAGTAAACTTGAACTTTCGATTATGTCAAATAGAATTTCCGATGCTGGAGCTCCCAAAGGATCTACAAAACGAAAGTATGTTTCGATGTCCATCAAACAAAAAGTGGAATTGCTGAAAAAAAATGGATAAAGACTTGAAGAAGGTGACAGAGAGGTTAGTGAAAACGAAAAAATTTTGATTGACAAGTTAGTCGGTATTCTCGGCACAGCAATTACGGGACTTGAACAGTAACTGAACAAAAAATTATGTCTGTTTATAGAATTAAAGAGAAAGTATTATCACATAAAATAAAGCAACTTAAACAACTTACATTGAAAGAAATGTTTGATAAAGTAAACAAATAAATATTAAGCTTTTTTTTTTTTTTTTTTTTTGTAAATTTTGATACCCTTTAGATCATAATTGTTCTTCAAATTCAAATTACCGTAATTCAAATTACAAATTCAAATTACCGTAATTTCATAAATTACGGTTTCATATTTTTAACTTTAGAATTTCTGCATGCCATCTTACGAGATTTAAACTGATGATCTATAATCCAGAAAAATCGATAATCTGGAATCGCCGAAGTCCCGACGAGTCCGGATTAACAACTTTTGACTGTATAAGGCTTTTTTTATTTCCTTGATCGGCGGGGGGAAGATAAATGAACTGCTGAACAGTATTTATTTTGTGAATCTGATAGAGCAATTGCAAGTGAAATTTTCAAAATAATTGACAATTTTATGTCTGAGAATGGTATTTCTTGGAGTAAGTGCATTGCCGTATGCAGTGGCAGAGCTCAGGCTTTAACAGAAAAACACTCCGGGATTATTTCTCAAAGCCGCACCTGAAACTATATTTACTCACTGCTCCATACATCGTGAAGCTTTAGTAGCCCAAACAATCCCTGAAAGCCTGAAAATTGTTTTAAATCAAGTTGTGAAAATTGTTAATTTTATAAAAAGCCAAGCTCTAAATTCAAGAACATTTACGATTTTATGCCAAGAGATGGGCAGTGAACATGAAACACTTTTGTTACATTCCGAAGTAAGGTGGTTATCCAGAGGCAAAGTTTTAAATCGTCTTTTTGAACTTCAATCAGAAATTCAAATTTTCCTCTGTGATTCAAAATTTGAATTGCAAAAATGTTTATTTAGTGAGGTACGGTTTGCATGCATTTATTTGATATTTTTGGAAAGTTAAATGCATTAAATTTAGGATTAGAAGGACAAAGTGTTAATTTGTTTACTATTAGAAATAAAATAAATGCAATTATGAAAAAAAGTGTAGTTAATAATCAGAGAATTAGATAGTAATATTTTGAGCATTTTACCACTTTTAGAAAGTTTTCTAACCAAAAATAATTTGAAAATAAAAAAAAGAATTAGCATCCAACATTAAAACTCCTTGTTTTTCATTGGGCCCACCAGCGGCCGAGCGGTAAAGTCGCTGAACACTGGTAGTTCGGTCCGAGGTTCGAATCCCACGAACGGGCTGGCTGCATGGGCATTTTCGTGGTTTTCCCCATGTGTAACATGTATACGAGCCAGTTTCCCTTAGAAAGTCCTCACGAAAGCATGTTTCCCTTAGGCAGATAGCCCTCGAGGCTTTGCCATAATCACACACACAAACATTGTTTTTCATTGATAAATAATTTCAATGTGTATTTTCCCGAGGATAATGAAAAAGAAAATTGGATTAGAAATCCATTTCATTCAAATGTATCTGCGATTTTATCTCATGAAAGAAAAGAACAATTGATAGAAATTTGCTGTTATTGAACTCTAACTGAATATTTCAAAAATAGCACACTTGTTAACTTTCAGCAGAACCGTAAAAAAGAATTTAAAGGCATTTCAAATAAAGCCATTAAATTTTTATTGTCTTTTTGCACTACCTATATATGTGAACAAGGATTATCTTCCATGTCACATTTAAAAAATAAATACAGAACGAAATTAAATCTGGATTCTAATTTGTGCTTAAAACTAAGTGAAATAAGAGCAGACATAAAGAAATTGATCTCGCTTAAACTGGCCCAAATTTCACACTAAATTTTAGAAGTAAAGTATTATAACTTAAATTTTGATAATTAAAATGCTAACCAAGTTTTAATCTAATGTCTTTTTTCATGTGTGCATATTTAATACAAATAGTCAATAAGTTGTGCAGATGGCAAAGTATTTTTTTAAATATTTCTATTCAAAAATTGAAAAATAATCATTGTAAAATGTAATGGTGGAACTAAAGTTTTTCAATTTTTGTTTAGATGGTATATATTAATCAAAAGGTTGAGAACTGCTAACAATTATCACTAATAAAGAAGCCAAATCATGAGCTTGGCACGAAAGAAACATGCCTCCGTCCCTCCAAAAAAAAAAGTTCCTAGTGGAAAGGCTTTAAATGGAAAAGTACTCAACCCATTTTTCTATAAAAATAACAACAAAAAAAAAAAAAAAAAAAAAAAAAAAAATTTAGAGCATTTTTCATTTGAAATCAATACACAGAAATTGAAATTTATTAATTACTAGAATTCAAATCTGTAATATATATAGGTATGTATGTATTTCTAAAATTTGTCGGCTATTTTATTGATATGTTTTTTTAAATCCTTGTTACTTTCTTGTACCATTTTGTTTAGCATAATGTATTGATTTTTTTTCCTCTCTTTTCTGTTTTATTGCTATATTTTATAAAAATATTTTCTTGTATGATTTTGCTTAGCATAATGTATTATTTTTTTTCCTCTTTTCAGAAAAAATATTTATAGTGACAAGATATTATAATATTTCAAGGAAAAAATTACCATTATGTCTTCAGTGTCTGTAGAAGAAGATGAAAGTGAAATGGACTTCAGCACAGATTCTGCTAATAGTATTGCAGAAAGTGATAGTGCAGATGATGAGGATGATGAAATATCTGGGAATGCAGCTTGGGCAGATGCCCTCTCAAAAGTCCTGAACTGTAAGATATCTAAAGAAAAAAATTTTATATTAAGTAAAGCTAAAAAAGACTCTGAAATCAAACCTAAAGACGCAACACAAGTGGAAATTGTTGATGAAAGTGGCAAATTAATCAAAGAAGATAAAAACCCAGATGAATATAGTCAGAAGAGAAAAGCAATGCTGGATAAGCAAAAACAGGTAAGTTTTCTTTTATGTTTTTTGGGTACTATTCGGTTTCAAGGGTCATAAAAAATCGCCAAACTATTGTTGATGGCAAAGCTGTCAAAAATAATTGCGGCAAGAAAGGAAGTATAATAGTAAATAACTATCTAACATTGATGTTTTAATTTAGATGAAAGGTTAATTTCATATAATACATTTTTATTATTATAATTTATATGAAAAAGGCTAAACATGACTGAATGGAAGCATAAGAGTAAATAACTATTTCAGATCATTATTATAATTTATATAAAAATTGCTAAACATAACTGAATGGATGACTGCATCGCTATTTCGCTACCAACTTATCGCTAAAGTATAATTTCATCTCGTTGGTTGTTCAAACATAATTTTCTATAATGAATGATGCCTTTTCTTTGAAAATATTCTCTGTAAAGTGCTGAAACGCTCACTTATTTGTTTGCCCCTTTTTACAAGGGTTAAAAACAATTGGATTTTTGTCAATTTTCTTTTATTTTTTAAGTGAAAATAGGTCCATGTGTACATAGATAAAGTCAAGGATGTGCGCAGTGCCATTTTTGTGCAATTCTAGGATTTTTTTTTAAAAGTGAAAATAGGTCGATGTGCATATGGATACCGAGTATGTGCAATTCTTAAAAATGCATCAAACAGTGGATGATTCTGCACTTTACCCAAAATTCTATTGCCGACTTTTCGTCATGGGCAATTCCCAAATTGTTAAATCCATAGGATATCAAAAAAGGATTTAAAATCAAAAGAAGATTTAAAAATTAAACTTGTATTTCAATGGCGTCTTAAGAAATATAGAACTACAGTGGCTCCCAAAAGTGTTCATACACTTATGATTTTCATTGAAATAGGGCTGTATCCATTAATTAAAAGTAAACTTTCTGAATGAGATTTTAATAATAAGATCTATAATCTGTTCGTAACAAAATTACATGAAATATTTTTTAAATATAGCAAAACTTTATTTTTAAGAAATTAATAATCAAAAAATGACAAACATTTTATCTCACAAAAGTCTTTGTACACTGAAATATTTTTGGATAAAATCAAAATTAGAATTATTGTTTGCCACTTTTTTTAATTTTTGCATTGTGGTGCATTAAAAAATCGTTTTGCTTTAATTTTTATTTTGTTTATAATTTTTATTTGAAAAATTATTGAACAGGCGAAAGAAATACGAACAGTATTCGAAAATTGTGTGTTTGGGTATGTATTTATGGCAACGCTACTAGGGAAAGGATACCTCGTGGAGGACTTTTAAGGGAAACGGCTCGTATATACACACGAAAACAAGAAAACACCCAATGGCCAGCCCGTTCGCGGGATTCGAACCTCGCACCGAGTGACTTTACCGCTTGGTCCATGGTCGAAAATTGATAATTTTTCACCGTAGTAGTCGAAATCAATTCGAAATATCGCTAATTAGTTAATTTAAACCATTCTATAGTGCAGTGTGTGATAAAACGCTTTGAAGAGAAAATCGAATTGAAAACAAGGTAAGAAAAGGTCGACCAAGAAAGTTAACTTGAGAGAGATTATTAGAAATTTGTAAAAAATCCATGTTGGAAAGTGCTGAAATTTGCAGAAATTCAAAACCTGTTCTTTGTTAGTGAGAAAAACAGAAAGCATAGGCTTTCATTCGCAAAATCAATGATAAATACACTCGAAACGTACTTGAATAATGTCCTATTTGCTGACGAAAGCAAATTTAACATTTATGTTTCCAATGGTCGAATAACAGCATGGAGAAGAAAAAATTAGGAACTTCATTCTAAGAACTAAGTTGGAACAGTTAAGCATGGCAGTGGAGGTGTTCTTATGTGAGGGTGCATGGCAGTATCAGGACTAGGTAATTTGGCATTTATTGATGGCATATTAAAGCATTCTCTATTTAAATACTTTAAGAGACAATTTAAAATTATCAGCCCAAAATTTGGGTATTGGAAACAACTTTTTAATCATGATAACGATCCTAAGCATATGGCTCTCAACATTCGCTTGTGGTGTTGTGAAACTCTATAATTGTACACAAGTTTTGAAAACACACCTCAGCCACCAGATTTAAACCCCATAGAACACATTTGGAAAGAACTGAGGGTTAAAGTACGAAAACACAACATCAAAACGAAAAGCGAACTCAAAACAGTCTTGATGGAAGAATGGATGAGCATTAATACAGAAATTAAAAAAAAAAAAAAAAAAAAAAAAAAAAACTAGTAAACTGTATTTCCAGACATTTAAAAGCTGTTGTGAATGCTAAAAGATATCCTACTAAATATTAATTTAACAAAAAATGAAAATATTTACTAATATGTCAAGATTTTTTTTTTTTTTTTTTTTTTTTTTTGAAGTGTACGAAGATTTTTGTGAGATAAAATGTTTGTCATTTTTTGATTATTAATTTCTTAAAATAAAGTTTCGCTATATTTAAAAATATTTATGTAATTTTGTTACGAATAGATTATAGATCTCATTATTAAAATATCTTTCAGAAAGTTTACTTTTAATTAATGAATAGAGCCCAATTTCAATGAAAATCATAAGTGTACAAACACTTTGGGGAGCCACTGTATATAAACGTATGCAATCTGAAATCAGCGCATACGCTAGATTAGGCGCGCTGTTAAGTGGGCGCGTTTGCTGGATTTGGCGCTTTTGCGCATACATTTTCGCTGCAATTTTTTTACGCCCCTCAAAATGGAATAGTACTGTTTTTTTTAATCTGGATTTCATTTAAGTAATATTTTTAGTGTTTATGCATATCAGCATTATTTATTATTAAAGTAAACGCTGGCTGCTCTCCTTTTTAACTTTCACTTGTCTCTTGCTTTCATTATATTTTCAGACAATATAAATTTTAATTGAATAAAAATTTATACTGCCTTACAAGTTTCCTTTAACTGTAATGTGGATTTTATGGTCTAAATAGAAAGTTATTTTAACTTCCAGTTTAAGAACTGTTTAGTGGGGAAAAAGAATAATTTTATGCCATTAAGCACATAGTAGAATTCTAACCTTTCGAATCAGCTTTAGCAGATGGAAAATATTATCCTCAGAGACAAATAAGCACAAAGATTGTAGGTATAGAGGACTGATATGTTAAAACTGTGATTAAGTTGTTAATATATGATCATGTACCTCATTTTCTGTACCCTAGTCATTACCATGAGCTGATTTTGAGTGATTAACAAGCCATAATCATATTCAGCATGATCATGTTCCACTATGCTTACTGTCTTTTTACTTCTGGAAAACGAAATTACTCTGTACATACTCTTCAGATAGCTGCTTTGGTTGCTATAGTGGTTAGTGATACCACTATTATGCTATATTATGGGACCCAGGTTTGAATATAGAAGAAGCCTTGGATATTTGTAAATGTATGGAGACTGTGTGATGTAAGGGCACTTAAAATACTTGAAGGTGGAAAGTCTTCTCAAGATGTTTGGTGGTGGGAAAAAGGGGAAGAGAGGCTGTTGGATCCATTCACCCTGTGTTCTCCATCAAAATTGGGATGGAATAGTACAGTAAATGCAATGGTATTATGCCTATAAAGTTGCTGGTGTCCTACCCACTCCATTGTATCCTGTTCCTTATGTTCAGAAAGGCTGTATATTTATTATATCAACCTTGCTGTCATGCTAATACTAAAAAAATCTTATATATCATATGATATGGTAGATTACCCCCCCCTTTGGAAATGCTCAGAAAGTTTTCTTAATGATTAAGAATCTTTGCTATTGAAAAGCTTCATCAAAATGCTGTACTTAGCAAGGAAAATGTATGCAAATACAGTTCTAAATTTTAACTATTTATAGTAAAAGTATATTTATGGGTATCCTTTTGTGATAATTAGCAATTTTTGGTGGTACATGGATTAAGATACGAGTACCAGAAAACAAGCAATTTTTGTGCCAAAAATCGCCACTACACAAAATGAAAATGACAATTCAAAGAATTGAGCAAACTCGGTATCCATGTATACATCGACCTATTCACTTCAAAAAAAAAAAAAAAAATTCCAGAATTGCACAAACTTGCCATTGCGCACTCCCTTTATCCATGTACACATCGACCTATTTTCTCTTTTAAAAAAATCAGAGAATTGCACAAACCAGGCATTGCGCACTCCCTTGACTTTGTTCATGTACACATCAAACTACATTCACTTAAAAAGTCAAAGGAGCAGCCATAAAAAAAAATATATAATCTCAATAAACTGCATTTTAAATAAAACAATTAAATAATATAAAAAGGGAAATTCATCTTATCACTACACAAAGAAAATATCCACTTACCTTATTTACGAATTACCACATCTTCAGTCAAACAAAATTTTTAACAGCATCCTAAAATTATCATAATTAGAATCTGTATACTGGCATTGCCACATAAATTCACAAAATAAGAGGAGTGAAAAATATCCTCCGTAGCACCATCATAGTCTGACCATATGCATTTCCTTCCTACAAACAGGACATTTAATAATGGCTACTAAGTAAACCTTCATTTACACACCAGTCAAGTAATTCTGTTTTCCCCTTTCTTTCCAAATCATACAGAAACTTCAAATTAATCTTACCACGTTCAGCCATTTTACCGTCTAAACCAGAAAACAAAAAATGTACTTCATAACCAACACACATGAACAAGCCCTTACAATTTCGCCGTAATCATGCAACCAATTACGTCATAATAGGGTTTCCATAACATTCAACTATTCAGGCTGCCATAAATAAACCATTACTTGGTGATAAATGATATAACTTCCCGATAATATAAGGCGTATCCTTCTCTCTACTCTAAACCTATTTAGAGTAAAAAAAAAAATCTTTTCAAAGGAGATATGTTCTCTGCTAAATGTCATTTTTAATTTTATGTTTGCTGTTTAGTCTTGTATGATTATTTTCATAAACTTTTGCTTTGTTCACTCATGAAGTTAAAAAAAATCGGTCATTGATTTTTATTTGTTGATTAAGTTAAGA